ATTTAAATCTAAATCCATAAATCCTCACCATAAACTGGATCTAAATCCTCAATCATAAATCCATTACGTTATCTGGATTTAAATCATAAATCCTAAATCCACTTGCAAAAAAGGATTTAAATCCTAAATCCATAAATAAATCCTCTATTTTTTAAATATTTATTTCATTAATTCAAGAACAGTTTCCGGATTATTTCACTTTTTAAGTTTTATTTAAGCTAAAACCCCTTGGATTCCAAATCAAAATTGATATGAACCTTATTGCACGTATATTAGATTCCATCGAAGATTTTTGGAATATGAACATAATGACCCGGAAAACAATCGGGATTTCCTGGTGAAGTCATGATGATATAACAACGTGATTTTTTTTTTATCACGCTGTGATATCCTGAGTGCATACACATGCTTCATCACAGTGATATCATGTAGAACTCACGGTGTTATATTTGCAAAATTTGCGCATGCGTATTAGACCTGCGAACTGCGAATTTAAAACCTACCCGGACAACATTCGTGATATTCATACGAACATCACGTCGTGATTTTCACAAATTTTATTCATACTGATATCATACGGAAGTCACCGCATAATAAATGAAAATCATATGAACGTCACGTCGTGATTTTCACAAATTTTGTTCATATGGACATCATCCGGATGTCACTGCTTGAGAAATGAAAATCATGTCGTGATTTTTTATGCCATAGGATTATGAACGAAATCAGTAAACTGTGCTTCTGATTTCTTTGAACAGCCAGCCATTTAACAACACTAGTGCTCAATAAGACGGCACAAATCTAAGTTAAATTATCTAAGATAACAAATCTAATTTATCTAAAAAATAATGAACAAATGATAACGATCAGCACTTACCGTCAAATTATGGAGTACCGGAATTTCTGAGTATGAATTTCCAGGGGGGGGCCCGGCCCCCCCCCTGCCCCTATGTAGCGGCGCCCATGATCCAGACGTGTCAAAAGGCACACCTTTTATTGAACACTTTTTTTTGGGCGGCCGTCTCACGACGAGAGTCTCACGACGAGAGTCTCACGACGAGAGTCTCACGACGCGAGTCCATGGTAACAAGGAACAGAACAGAACAGAACAATTATAAAGGTTATAAATCGAAATGTACATATATCTTGAAAATTGACAGTTTTTCACAGTGAAAGAAAAGAAAATGTTTTATGAGGACTTTACAGTAGAGTCCGTGCCCGAATTTAAATTATAGTTTACTGCCGGGGAAATTAAAAGGTCAGTACAATGTTCATATAAACTTTTCAAATATTGGCGTTGACAAACTATTTAATACTTTTGTATTTTTGTATTGAGATAATAAAATAATTTTCACATTTAGTATTATTTTAGATGAAAGGCACTTTATTTTAACGATTGTATGACATTTGACAACTATCAACTAACTTAAAACTAACTTCAGCCCGTAACTAAAAACCTGTTGCTAACTTCAGCCCGTGACTAAAGCGTCATAAAGCCACAACTTGTCAATGTGTATTTAAAAGGTCACTTAGTGTCATGGAAACATGTACGATAAAGGGCGTTTTAAAGGTGGGAGTAGAAAAAATATAATATACCTACTATATTATAAATTAAAATACACCTATTAGGTAAGTACCTATATCATATTTTAAGGATTTCCATGCATGCACATGTGCATTGTGTATTAGAGATTTATTTAAAAATTAGTTCAAGTGAAGAAGATTCTCAAGGGTAAATATATCCATTTTAAATATGTATGCATACCTATTTATTAATTAAATGCGTGCCTTTGTCACAGCAATTATTTATTTAAATAATAATTAAGTATTTTGTATCTTATTTTAAGATTTTCCAAAATCCTCGAACAGGGTGGCTCTGTGAAGTGCCAAGTGAAGAGACAAAATTTGAATGTCGGTGGTGTAATGCAATACTTTATAAGGGTGTTTTCAATAATGAATGATGTGAAAACAAAAAAACGAAACAGACTTCAAGAAAATACATTGAATTTATAGATTAATTTCCTTTGTGTATTGCGTACCCATTTTAAAGATACAGTACAAATTCTGCAAAAATATCTGTCACCAAAAAACATTTAGATTTAATAAAATTAAATAATTTATTTAATTCCTAAATCATGGTTTTGTTCTGCCTATAAAATTAATTCATTTTCTTTAATTTGTAATACCTACTTTATTTACCTACCATAAAAGATTATTATTAAGTACCTAATCCAGTCAAAAGGTTTTTTTTATCTAATGACGTTTTACACCTCTGCAGAAATATGAAGAATTTTTAAGGTTAAATTGAAGAAAATTGGTATAAAGAATCTGGCAACACTGACCTCGAGGTAAAAATAGTTTACAGTAATAAAAACCTAATGATAATCCTTTAAGGTAATTTACCTTTTTTTGTATATTTATTAGGGTGATTCAAAAAATCTACTTTTCTTTTTTTTGATATAGAAAAATTGGTTGCTGGAAAACTCAAAAGAAGCCTATCTACTTATATATACGAAAAAATTATAGGATACCTTTTTATAGAGCATTCGATTTCCTATTAAAATGTTTAGCGGACTTATGTTAAAATGGAAAATCGCTCTTAATAGTAAGATCTTATAAGATCTTACTATTAACTTAAGGGCGGCTGGTGGATTTTAAGTATACCAATATCTCAGTTATTAGACATGGGACCCACACCAAATTTATAATAGTTTATATTGACATTAAATAAACAAGTTCGGCGCAAACAGAATTTAAATTGAAGTTTGCGAAAAAAAGTTAGTTTTTCCTGTCGCCTACCCTGCCTCCAGGCCCCCCTATTTGAGATAATTTAAATTAAAGTGGTGCAATTTATTATCTACTATAATTTATCGACAAATTTAAAATTTTATTCAAAAAATCCAAATATTACAGATTTTATTCGATTTTAATTTTTTATTATTTATTTTATTAAAATAAAAAAATATTTAAAATGGTATAAAAACTGTAATATTTGGATTTTTTATATAAAATTTTAAATTTGTCGATAAATTATAGTAGATAATAAATTGCACCACTTTAATTTGAATTATCTCAAATAGGGGGCCTGGAGGCAGGGTAGGCGACAGGAAAAACTAACTTTTTTTCGCAAACTTCAATTTAAATTCTGTTTGCGCCGAACTTGTTTATTTAATGTCAATATAAACTATTATAAATTTGGTGTGGGTCCCATGTCTAATAACTGAGATATTGGTATACTTAAAATCCACCAGCCGCCACATTTGTAGAATCACCCATATCTTGAATGTCTTGGTTTACGAAAAAATTATAGGATACCTTTTTATAGAGCATTCGATTTCCTATTAAAATGTTTAGCGGACTTATGTTAAAATGGAAAATCGCTCTTAATAGTATTAAGAGCGATTTTCCATTTTAACATAAGTCCGCTAAACATTTTAATAGGAAATCGAATGCTCTATAAAAAGGTATCCTATAATTTTTTCGTAAACCAAGACATTCAAGATATGGGTGATTCTACAAATGTTGCAACATTGGGCAACTTTTGACCTCGTTTTGTTTATATAGTTTTCGGAAAAAATTAAACAGTATTTTGTTATGAGAACATAGATAATATAATAAATATACTGTTCCAGATCGGGCCAGTCACTTTTTCAAACAGTTTCTGAAATATCTGTGTTTTCTAAATTTGAATGCAAGGGAAGTGACGAGTATACCAGGATACTAATTAAATACATAATTTATTGGAAAATATAAGATTTATTGCAACTTTGAGCATATTATACATTAAATATCTTAAAACAAAATAATACCACACATCAGTGGCGGCTTACAGTGGTCTGAGAGGTAAATTTACGCGGCAAAAATTATTCTTTAAATATTTTTCCCAAGACGTGGGTTTTTATGTTTTTAAGGGTGCTAAATTTACTTCTTATTCGTATTTTTTGTATTTTTTATGTTTTATATTTAATAATTTATTTATTAATAAAATAAATAAATGTTTATAGTTCGTACCAGGGGCGATCGCCAATGTTGGCGATTGCAACATGGCGCAAGCATAATTTTTTATCATGAATAACCGAAAAACCATCACCTTCAAAGTAGGTATCAAAAATATATTATTATATCAACATTTTACATTTCACCATATTTCTTTTTAACAACCCTTTAGCCAATATCGTGATGGATGACAATAGGAAAACTTATTATTTTTATTATGCGTTAAATACTCATGATTGTTTTAAAAATGAGATTCCTATAGAACATATATAATTATAATTATTGTACTACCCTCTTAAATCACTTTGCTGTTTTTTTATTTTCTGAGCACCCTGGACATTTAGGTAATTAAAAATGTTTGTCAGGAATCTCATTTTTAAATACAATCAGAAGTTTTTATGAAGAATGCATAAAATACTTTTTTTGTAGGGCATTTATTTCGGAATAAAATGAAAAAAAAGGTTTCGAGTCCATTATTAAGGTCACAAATTAGTTTTGACCAGAAAAGTAGCATTCCAACCCACCGTGTGTCGGTCCGATTGCGGCCGATTGTCGAGTTGTTAGTAAATGACGTTTTATGGGTTAATTTTGTTGTTTTTGTAACCAAGTAAACGATAAATTATGGGAACAGACCTGTAATTTTATACGGGCTTGTACCTATAATAGGCCTATAAAATTTAACAGGCTTGTAGGAAAGCAAATTACAGGTCTGTTCCAATAATTTATCGTGTACTTGGTTACAAAAACAACAAAATTAACCTATAAAATTTGAAATTTTAAAATCAATTTCAATTTTAAAATCGCCTTATAAAAGTGAAACTAAAAGTTTGTACATGTCACGCTTTGCAATTTATCTTTACTAGGCTCACTGGATGGAAACTTCCAGCTCGCCCGTATAAATTATTTTATAAAGCTTGACACATAAAAAATTATTATACCTACGCCCAAAATCAATTTCGTGTTAAGGCTAGCAGGATACTGAAAGAAATTTAAAGACGTAGGTATAAATTGTAAAAATCTATATTCAAACTTAATAACTTAATAACTTAATGTACAGTTGTTTTTATCATACACACACAGCATGAAGGAACTCGAAAATCGTCAAAAACTCTGTTGGTATCATTTCCGTTGTAAACCATTAATCGGCGAACGTTGTATTTTTGTTTGCAAGTTGCTTGCATGTTTTCAGGAAAATTTTCGGTATATTTACAAGTTCCCCCGTCTCTATAATAATCAAACAGCATTATTAAGGTACCTATATCAATATTGTTTATTTTTATTACTTACGTCCCACATAGGTCATACTCAATTCCTTGTTTGTATGGACCCTGATTAATAATAGTTTTTTCTTCTTTGTTAAGATTAAGGGCTTTTTTTGGAAAAACAGTTTTTTTCGTCACCGAACAAAGCGTTTCTTCTTCGGCAAATGGATCCCTGTTATTAATATCCGGTAAATTGTTGACCAATCCATTAAAGTATTCTTTTAGTTTTGGCGTCGATTCCAAGAAATTTTCTATTATATCCATAGGGTAATCATCCGTATATTCACAAAGACCTTCGGGACAACTTTCAGTTTTCTTATATCGCCTTGACTGCATTGTAGGATCAGGGAATGCCATTCCCATGTAAGTTTCTAAAAAAATATATAAATAAATTAAATTGGCTATAGAAATTTTTTATTTATTTAAGTTGCTATCCCAGCAAACATAAACATAAAAACAGCCCAGTAAAAATAGCTTTTTAAAATTTAAATGGGCCAGAACTGGGACGAACGACATTCTGATGCTGGAGAAGTTTAAATTGTTTAGGTCAAGGGCTTAGCCGAAGTCTGCATTTTTGAAGGTTTTCCGAAATTTCTTTACTTAAAAATTGTTTAGATTCGGATACTCATTTTTTATGAACTCACTAATCGGCCTTTTAGAAAGTTTTATTAGCTGCCGACCAATGCCGACTGCAGCTGCAGCTAATCCCTTGTGGAAATTTTTCTCTGAGAAAGTTTTAATAAGAGTTTTTAAAGTCTTACTTTCTCTTAAAAAGTCTGAATAATACTTATTAAGTCGGAAAAAGTCAGAATAAGACTTATTAAGTCGGAAAAAGTCTGAATAAGTCTTGATAAGTCTAATAGCAAGATTTGGGAGTCTTCTAGAAGAGTTTATAAGACTTAATAAGACTTTTTGCAGAGAAATTGTAGATACCTAAAGCGATTAAAATAAATATCCGGAATTATTCAGAGATGTTGTATTTGGTTATTGCAAAAGAAAGCACAATGAAAAGGATTTATAAACACTGTTTTTGTCTTGTTATAAGGCTTATAAAAACACGGAAGCAATGTTAACAATAAAGGTAAACAAACTTTATTTTAATTAAACAGAATAAAACAGTTGGGAGATATGTTTGGTTTGTGTACATACAGATCCCTTGTTAATAAAGTACATATATACGGTATAATAACTATAACAATTATTCGCAACGCATAGGCGTGATATGGCCGACAGTCGAACTCATAAAACAAATATGGTTGATCTTCATGTGTTTTATACAGTGTTGCCGGATGAATGTCATAAAAGTTCCCGACCAAAAATTACAAAATAGGTATACTAAAAAAACTAGTTATATTTTAAATTCACTAGCGCATTCGCCCTGTTAAAAAAAAAATAATTAAATTAATTTAAAATTTTTCTATAAGTAAATAAAAATGTAACAGGAAATCCTATATAGAATAAAATAGTTATGCATTTTTAGTAAACATACAATATTATTTTACACGCTTCAAAATTCTACCCGCAAACAAGACGAAAATACCCAAACAGCCAAAATTTTGTTGGGAATGAAAATGAGCACGAAGGAGCACGAAGGATCCGAAGGCAATCTAAGTAATAAACATACAGAAAATGCAAATGGAGATAACCCCAATTATGAAAAAGAAAATTCTAGTAGTGACTTAATAATGCTTGACTGAAGTAGATATTGAAGAACAACCCAAAAATGTAAGACCTAAAATAAATAAAAGACATAATGTGAAAGAAAATAAGTGGGAAAAAATAGAAACCAACGAAAACGGGAAATAGGAGAGAACTATTATGTCAAACGGAAGCGCAACGGAGTTTGGAACTATGAAGTTACAAGAAAAAAAACAATGAAAGAAGCTTTTGACTGCAAAAAATCATTAAAAAACAAAAAATTGCAATGTAGACAACTCAACGAAAAAGAAAGGACAGAAATATTTCAACATTTTTGGTCAAACATGAAGGAGTTTTTTAGAGACCTCCCTAAAATTGAGTCTCATTATTGCCGTGCTAAGTCATCGAAACTTTATTTGGAACCTTTTTTGAATCGAAATCCGGCCTTTTTTAAATTTTATAAGAGCTGGTGTCATGAAAAAAGTTACAATCCTGTGCCAGATGCCTTATTTTCTTATGAGATAAATTTGAGCTTATTTAAACTCAAAAAAGACTAGTGTGACGTTAGTGTGGGATATCGCATAAAAATGTCTCAGAAGAAAATTATGTTATACACCAGTTTAAAAAAACGAAAGCAAGAGAAGCTAAAGAAATAGATAAAAACTCCAACGAGTTTTTTACATGGATGTTCAAGCTGTACTTTTAAGCCCTAAATCTAATACATCGGATTTATATTTTAAAAAGAAACTGATTACTCATAATTTTACCGTGTATGACATGCAGACTAAAGAAGGTTACTGCTTTTTATGGCACGAAGCTGCCGGGGGTGTTTCTGCCAACAACTATGCTTCTATAATTTGCTACTTTCTTAAAGAGTATTTGGTGAACGAACTGAAAAATGATCAAGGAATCATCCTTTACAGTGATGGCTGTACTTCCCAAAATAGAAACGCAACACTTTCCAATGCGTTAATTAGTTTGGCAATTAATCATAATAATAATATCGAGCAAAAGGTTCTAGAGAAAGGACGTACCCAAATGGAGGCCTACTCGATGCACTCCCTTATTAAAAGAAAAGTGCGAAAAACAAATATAAATCTTTCAGCTGATTATGTTAACATTTGTGCACGTGCCAGAGAAAATCTCAGACCTTTTATTGTCAAATACCTAAGTTAAGACTTTTTTTAGCTCTCTTAAAAATACAACGTCTTTAAGACCCGGTCGCAAAGCTGGAGAACAGGTACTTACTTACACTGTTTAAAATATCTGTGGTGGAAAGAGTAATCTTAAAATGGTGTCAAAATCCAACACCAAGTGGTGTTAATATAACACCATCAATTATGGTTAAAAATGTTTTATACAGCAAACACCAAAACGGTGTTTATCTAAAAATATTTGAGAAGTGCACCTATACAGAAAAAAAGGAATAGTTCATTTAACTATATTAATTTAGTTGACCCATAAGTATTTATTTAAATCAACTGTGGGAAGGTTAATATAAACAAAGATTAGTTTGAAGGTACTAAACCAGTTATTTTATTTTTTTTAAATTGGTTAAATTAACCCAGAAAACTTTAGTTAAACCAACCCGCTGTATGGTTTAGTTTACTAAATATGTTGTAAAATAAGAGTTACTTCAACCTAAAGCACTCTGTTAAAACGATTAAAACAATTTAGTGTGTACCGATCGCGGCAAAGGCGGTGTGGATCACGTGATGTTCTTAAATCTCGCCTCTGTTGACTTACATGAAGAGTATATAAGCTCAGGTAGTCCTTTGGTGTGACACTACAAGTTGTTCGATACTAAAGAGACCTTAAATAGGTGGAAACAGCTGTCAATATTTGAAGTATTTTAAGTTGGTGGAACGCATTAAAGACATTATCTCTAGCGAGTTGAAGGTTCAATTTTCTCGAATAATACCACTGATAATATACTTGCAATGCGTCAAGGAACTTAGTGTTCCCTTTTTTTCTGTGTAGTATGATTTAATTTGACCAAAAACACATTATATTTAACACTGAAAAGAAGTTCAATTTACACCAGGTAAAATTTATTTTAATACTGTGTGAAAGTTAAATTTACACCATTTTAGTATTTGAATTTACACTGGACCAACGAACCATATTTAACACCATTTTGGTTTGTATCGATATAGACCATGTATGGTGTTAATTTGGTGTTAAAATGGTCATGAAATTTTGAACAGTGTAAGATGCTTAAAGTATTCTCCTGATGGAAACACTTATTTTAAAATTAGACATACAGATTACTATACCTTATTCGAAAAAAGGAAGCAGACATTAGTCGTAATGAATCCCTACAACTCTTTACAGCAACTGTATAAAAAACCTCTACCTATAAAAAAAGATAAATGGGATCAACTCCAATTACTTAAACAAAGTTTAGACCTAGACTATCACTCGCTTTATGATAATCTTACCTACCAATAATATTTAATTTTTTGTATGTTCCTACATTTATTACCTAATAAATATTTTTTTTATTATTGCCTTTTTCATTACTTATGGGTTTTAAAATTTAGAAATTATTGTCCATTAAGTACATAAAGTATTTACTGCAGATGTCGCAAGTCCTTTTAAATTTCTAAATATTTAAGAATTATTAAAATTGCTAATTTAATAAGTAAAAAATATTGACAATTTCAAGTATACGTAAAATAAAAACATTTAAACCGGTATACCGGTACCGCGGTACTTTAAAAATTACAATGTTTTTTGTCTCTCCTCTAAATTTATTATTATGGACTTAAGTCTTTTGCGAATTAGGGTAACTTATTACCTAAGTGAATTTTAAGATAAGTCCATCATTAGTGGTACCATCTAGAAGATCGGGAGGAAGGTTATTAGCGCAAGAATACAAAAAGTACATGATTAGTTGGTAAACCACCTTTCAACAATTGAAATGTTATGTTCGATTCAATTCAATTCACTGGGTAATTTTTTTGTTTATTTTTGTGCTCAGTTAACTATAGATATATTTATTTTATCTCTCAGATTGAAAAGAGCCTTCAGAGAAGGAGAGCAATTTTAACTTAACTTGTGAAAGATTTAGTGGAGATCATACATATGACCGAATTGAAGAAGTAATTACAAACACCTTTTCTAATTATAACCTCAAATAAGAGCAAATCTCAGCTATGATTACGGATAATGGTTACAATTTTTTAAAAGCATTTAAAACATTTGGCCTAAAATTTGAGAATGATGAGGCATTAGGTAAGGTTTTTTTAAACAAATTTTAAACTTTTTTGATTGCCATTAAAAATTTGAATTTGCTAATATCTCTAATTTTGTTGTTTTCAGATTAAGTGTTATCTATATTAATGAGATTGAAAATGAATATATGGACCTTGAAAATATTGATTTTTTTAAATTCAAAACACTATCCAAAATAGTAATGTAATTGATTCAGTTATTTTGCCCAGACATATAAGATGCATGAGTCATACTCTCAACTTATTAGATTTTCCAAAGATCGTAAACCAAATACCATATGAAAATAGATTGCATAACAGTGTAATTAATAAATGTTCCGTCATTTGGAATTCAAGCAAAAAACCTAAAACTTCTGGACAAATTTCTGCTATCTCCCCATGCATTACAAGATGGAACTCTTTATATGATTCAATTAACGTTTTTATAACCAAAAAAATATGTTTTAAACCCCGTAATGAAGATTTCAAATCTACAACAATTATTTAAAGAAGTGGAAATCGAGTACCTTCAAGAATATCTTACAATATATAAGCCAATTGCTGTGGCGTTGGATAAATTGCAAGGAGATAATTGCTTTTATGGCCAAGCTTTGCCAATACTTTTTTCTATAATATCTAAACTAAGAAGTTACAAGAAACACACTTAAAGCATACATGTGACATTTTACCAAAATTAATTCAATCATTTGAAAGAAGATTTGAAAATTATATTACTTTATCAGCAGACGTTAATAATGATGGCCGCTTGTTTTTATCCTACATTTAAATTGAGGTAGATACCTTTCAACCAACCGGAAGATTATAGAAGAATTTTTAATTTATGCCAGAATATACTTGAAAAAATAATAAATGAAGATTCATCTCCATGAAAGTCTTCAAAAAGTAGAGAAAAATGCTAGACAATTTTCCAATTATTAAAAAACTGTTTTACAATATAACACCCCAATTTGTTCTTCAGCTCCAGTAGAACCTCTGTTTTCATTTGCAGGTTTTGTATTGAAACCAGAACGGAATAGACTTTCTGATGCAACCTTTCAAAAATTGTTTTTTTTAAGGCAACCAGTTATTTTTAAATTTATTAAAAGATTAATGGAGGATTTATCCACCAGCTTTTTCTTTATCTTTTACTTTATTTTTTTTAGAAGTTAAATATTTTATTTTCATACAAGAGAAGAAAAAACATTTTTGTTTGTGTGCATGTGTGAATTCACGTTAACGTCTGTATTTTCTCATGGTGGATTTATACATACTTTTTTAAAGTTATAGCTGTCAGCAGTGTGTGAAAAAAAAATTAAATTAATTATGATTTTATTTTTTTACTCCAACTATTTAATAAAAAAAATAGCAGATTTATGTATGGATTTAGAATTTAAATATTTTTTGGAAGTGTATTCAAGATTTATGATTTAAATCCATATAACGTAATGGATTTATGATTTGGGATTTAAATCCAGTTTATGGTGTGGATTTATGGATTTATATTTAAATCCTTTTTGCCGGATCTTGATCCTGAGTAATTTTACCTATTTCTCCTAAATTTTTATTTTTAACAGAAATGAACCAAACTTTCAAATTTTACCAACAAAAGACACGATGATATTTAAAAAAATCCATTAGATAAAGAAACGCTTTAAAAATATAAAATGGTGTAACAAGTCTATACAGGGATGGTAATGGGCTTTTAGGCCGTTTAATAAACAAAGATGCATGCTATATAAAACGTACGAATAAGTGAGATAAACGTATAAATAAGAGAGACAAACAACCATTGTTGAACGAATAGGATAACAAAATACTTATTTCCCCTCTGCCATAAGCGTGCAGTACAAGATTTTAAAACGAATAAATCAAAACAATTAAACGTCCGCCAATGTTTTACTTCCCCTCCTCTAACTGCTTTCCAATCCCACAACTAGATAACCTTGACGCAAATTTCGCAATCGAGTCTCGAAATAACTTCAGTATTATTCGGTCCACGTTGGAGTGCGGACGGAGGAATTTTAAATTTTCTTTAAAATTTAACTATGATTTTGTTTACAAAAACGAATACTTATTGAATTTTTTTCGAAAATGTGGAAAATAAACCATAGTATTCTTGTAATAAAAAAACAAATATTCTTAAACAAAAATGGTATTCTAAAATGTTTAAATAAATCAAGGGTGTAAACCATTTTTATTAGAGAATATTTCCTAATTTATAACAAACGTACTACCGGTTACTTACAACACATTCTCTTGTCTGCGGTCGGGCGATGATCGTACAGTGTTGCCAATGGTGTTGACATAATTTACACACAGATTTTGTCAAAATTCCACAATTTTCCCAACTATTCCACACATTTGGGATTTTGGTTTTGTTAGGTTTCTTTGGTGATTACCGCAGAAAGAGTTTCTGAGGTGAATCACCACAAAAACTATTTCTGCGGTAATTACTGGTGATTACTTAAAGACGTTTTCAAAAACTTACTAGATTACTTACTTTGTCAAAAAGTCTATTGTTATAACCGGTTTTAAGTTACTCGATAACTTACGCTTGCAAGTTTCCAAAAACACCAGATTTTTTTAATTTGCTGTATATATAGAAATCTGCACAGAAATTCGTCCATATAACTAAATAACTAAAATGCGCATTTGCAAATATATCTATTTAAATGCTTGTTATAAGCATTGTTAATTTAAAGATAAAGTTTACACGCAAATTCCACACATTTATGTATTACACACAAATTACACACAACAAAATAAATTCCACACAATGCGTGGATTTCCACGTACATTGGCAACACTGTGATCGTAGCCGCGCGGCGCGGTCTGGCTTGCCCCACTACTCTTACGTCACTCCACCACTCCCACGTCTCATAATGCATTTGTCTTTATTTATTAAACGGCCTAAGAGCACATTACCATCACTGTATATAAATAATATTATATAAATTATATAATATATTATAAAGATTTTTATCTACATCTAATAATAATAAACATTATAAATTCCCTGCCTAACAACGGGAATAATAAACTCAATATTCACGTTATGGCTTCAGTGATTGGCCGATTTTAATATTCACTGTGATTTAAACCAAACGGGTTTTAAATTGGGAAAAGGCGACTATTATAACATTTAAACTTTATTTTATTTTTTGAAAATTATTTATTTATCTATTTGTTGGAGTAGATAAAGTATAGTATTACACTCGAGATTATGCGCATTATTCACTAGGATGATTTAAGTCTCTCGTCTGGCGACTCGAGACGCAAACCTCATTCTCGTAAATTGTATTATCTCTCGTTTAATACGATTATATAATATACCTACTATTATGTATAATAATTTTATATAATATATAATATATTATTAAAGGTTTGTAAAATTATTTTTGCGTATTATACAATTTGGCGTGTTCCTCCTGAATAAAAATAGTTCATTAAAATATTGTCAAAAAACAATCAATATTTTTAGTTTTTTTGTTATCTGACCAAATAATTCAACTTAATTATAAGTAGGTACATAATATTGTATTTACCTTGATGTTCTGATTTATACTTGGAATTCGCGGTATTGGTTACATTTCTTAACCTAGTGGTATTTCTAAATTGCGAAAAATGATGTGATTGAGATCTACTGTGTGAGCCATTCAGTCTTGTTAAAATCATCTGAAAATAAAAATAGAATATTTATCTTTAAAGTCTAAAATTTAAACTTTATTATTGTCAACACTCACTACTAAAGTGATTGATCGCCTATGCTGTAAAATTAATTTAGACCAATCGGGTTACATTCTAGGCTATAAAAAACCCGTTTAGACCAATACAAAATCAGATCTATCTACAAAACCTCACGTTCTTTTTTTTTCTAATTATTATAACTATCGTTTAATTACAGGCCTCCTCTACGCCTCGGCCTTAAGACTTTGAGCACAGCACAAAAAGACTTACTTCAAAGCCTAATGACATAAATAACTATTATTAAATTTTAGTTTCAAATGTATTAATAAATAAATCATTAGTAATGATACATAACTAGGGTTGTGGAATTGACCGGTCAAATTGTTTTTGGTCAATTGACCGGTCAATTGACCAGTCAATTGACCAAAATAAAATTAAATAAAATATCAAAATAAATATTACTGTGATTTATTTGTACTTAATAAATTGGTAGGTAATTAAAATACGTTACCAATTTTTTTTTTATTATAAAAGTTATGAAACGTTTGTGCGGCTTTAAAAAGTTATGTTTCGCTATTAAAAAAGATATGTCCCGCTTTAAGGGCAAAGCGCTGAGTCCGGCCTAGCAACCCCTTGACTCGGGGAACCACCTAATTGTAAATGATGTCGATTTTGCACGATCGCAAAAATTTTGAGATTAACGGGTAATTGTTGATACCTAAATAAAATGCTGCAAACATTAAATATATTTTGATCGGTCAATTGACCGGTCAAATAGGTAGCGGTCAATTGACAGTCAATTGACTGGTCAATTGACCGCGGTCAATTGACCATCCCCAACTCTATACATAACTAATAAAGCTTTATACGGCGCACATACGGACGAATCACCAAATTACGGCGCCAAAAATATTAAAACGGGTTATTTGCGATTATGATGATAAAAAATGCTTTTAAGGACTTGATTTAATCTTTATCTTAAAAAAAATGCAAAGTTTTGTTATTTTCTTGATTATTTTGTGTAATTAAAAGAAAATAATTAAGGGTGTAAGTAGGTGTTAAAAAAATAGGTAGACAATTTTTATGTAGGATAAAAAGGTTTTTATTAGCGCTAAATAAAATTATATTCAAAACTTTAATTTACTATACCGAGTGTTATTTTTTACCATAACCATTAATTTTTTTAAAAATGACTTTACAAAAAAAAATTCTCAAAATAATAATAGGTTTAAAGAGGATATCAAAAATACTAATTAGACAAAAACCCTTAATCAAAATATTTATTTAAAATTTAATATACAATAGGTCGTAAAATATTAAACATAATAAATTGAACATAGGTATTAGCATTCACCATCTTAATTAACAACAATTACTTTCAGGTAATGCAGATTAAGAAAAGATTAAGATTATCTAATATTTTATAATTGGTTCATTACATATTAACAAAGTATAATGTTTTTTTGTATGGCTAGCTTTTTTAACACGTTCACTGTGACTTACTTGATAAAAAAAATCTCTAAAACCTATGGCTGGACTCGGCTGGAACTAAAATTTACATGCTCATATTGGTAATAAGATACGCTATATGGTAGCCAAAAATGTAGGCGGAACTCTGCGGAACTTTTTTTAAAACTCTATCTAAAGTTATACTTTCAATTTTTTTTTCGTAAAAATTCTGTTTCATAAAACATATATTCTTACTTTTCCATGTATAATTTGTTTAATAACAATAATTACATATAAAAGTATATGCCATAAGCTTCCAAACACAACTAAAAAAACTTTTGATTTTACATTTAGAGTCATAGGACAAGCATTCTAATTCTGTCAACTTTTACGCGCGTGTACTTCATAGTAGTGCGAATAAAAGGTCAACTTTGGGGTGGTGCTGAGTCTTTTGTATACAATATATATATAAAAAAAATACGTTTTATTGTGGACTGGTCCATTGACAACGTGTTAATGATGTTTCTGACTAATTTTTTTAAAGTTCATTTTTCTATTTTTGGCGCGCTAATGTGGACGTTCGTCCTTATGTGCGGCGTGGAAATACTACTTTTTTATACAAATATCAAATACAATTTAAATCGTAATCGTAACGGTTTTAACTTAATTTTTATTTTTTTATTATAATAAATTTTTATATAAAAATATCAAATTTAACTGTCAATTTTATTTGTTACTATGGTAAGTGTCTTGACTTGTCTGTCTTGAGTTATATTGCTAAATCAACAGCAAAAATAATTAGTATTGTTGAAGAAAATTGTAAACTGACTGTAAGTAATAAAAAATGTTATAGTAAAATTTTTTATTATAAATTGCGTTTTGGTGTGAAAATTTATTTACAATATTTTCTCGTGGCTGCAGCCCATGGGCCAACTAATATGGGACGGGGCTCGTATATTATGTATGTTAATTCCATATTAAAAAATGATACTAGAACAGTCATATTTCGTAATAGGAGTAGAATAATATATTAAAGAACTGATTTTGTATAAGACGTCATTTTGTTGCACGCGGACAATTTATAAAACGAAGGAGCGAGTTTTGTAATGGACGAGTGCGACAAAAGGTCTTATGACATGAGTTCTTTATGCTATTTTATCTATTTTGCAAAAATTCTATAAAAAAAATTAATTTTATACCTTAAATTTAATTTGGTCGAATTTTACTTTAGATAGTTGGTATCACAGTCATTGGTTTGACATTTAATGTCAAAATCGATTCGCCATGCCGTCCTTAATTTACTTATTTACAATAAGCGGCTGTTAATGTTAAAGAGGAAAAAAGGGATTTTCTTTGGTGTTAAACAAAATTTATTGCCAGAAAAGTCTCGTAAGTACTAGAAAAATCATAAAAATATTATAAAGAATATGCAAAATATTATTTTATTAGTACCGCTCATTACAGCACCGAAAGCGGTGTTATAATGAAGTCATTATGAACGCAAAATAGATAAAATTAATTAATAAATCTCCGGAATAGTTTAAATGTCTGTCATTAAAATAATAATATAATAGAACGCCTTTATTATTCTTTATGAAATTTTGGATAAAAATACTTTAACTTATATCTCAGTTTACGTGTTCGAGGGTTTTTCGAGAAAATATTTTTAAAGCCCTTTTATTTTAATGAAAAAACTTTCAAAAAATAACCTGAAAATTTTGGCTGATCCAATATGACGAAAATTTGTCGTTCGGCTTTAATGGTTTGGGTAAAATTTAGTATTTAGATATTTATGCTCTGATTAAGAATTTGATATCCATTAAAAAAACAAAATTGCGGATTTAAAATGACGGACATCTATGCGAATTCATTTATATTTTTTTCTAAAGAAATTTAAGCTGGAAATAAAAAAAAATGTGTGCCAAGAGCACACTGATAAAGTAAGACTTTTTACGCCGAAATTGTCGCGCATTTTAATCATGATAATAAATGGTTGGACCTATGTTTTTTCGGTGTTAAATTTTTGAATGTTCCACCATGTGACATAAGGAACATGGAATTGAACCCACTTAAAAAACATTTTAAAATCTTTTTATTTAAAAAGGCTTTCTTTTATTGTGAAGATTATATCTTATGTGATGATTTTAATCAAATTATGTAATGTTTATTTATTTATTTATTTATATTTAGTGTATTTCAGTCATTTCATAAATATTTTTTATTCATTGTATTTCATATATTTTTCTGACGTGTGTATATACTATGTATTTTAACACTTTGAATTAAATGCATGCTCGACATAATTTAATAATTTTAATGAATTTATTATATAATACAATTAATTAAAAATATATATTTCATGATTTAAAACAACTACCTCCTTAATTTTTTTCCCAATAAATTGAAATAAAATTTATGCTCGACATAATTTTATTTAATTATTATTATGTATGTGTATAAGACAATTAATAAAAAATTAAACATTCATAATTTAAAAAATCAACTTGTTTTTTTACAATTAAAACATTTACGATTAAAAAGTAAAACGGCGTGCCACAACATAAACAAGCTTACATTATTCACTATAAATGTAAATTAATAAACATACCTACCACTAATAATGCAATAGTATAAAGCCCCATTATAACATAAATTTTCATTGAGGTTAAGTACTACACGTCACTTAAAAAATAATAATGCATAATGAACCAACAAACTTCTACTTATATTAAATAAAGACATATATTTAATTAAAGTTTTTCCAATTATACCACATCTATACGTCACTATCAGTTACACCCGAACTCCTACTCATGCAGATGGTTCTTGTGGTTTTCCTATACAGATGTAAACGCTTACTACATTGTAGAATTTCCTTCTTTGTTTTACGTCATTTTCGATTGTTTATTAAGAAATTTGTAGGTAGGTGAAGTTAATTTTGGCTGTGAGCGTTGTCTGAATTCTAATATGCGGTTTATATTAAAATTTTCGTATTCATTCAGATTATTGTTATTCGTTTTGTATATTGTAGTCCTATTTGGGTTCAGTAATAAAGTATATATAGAATAATAAAATAATATAATAATGTAGATGTAGTTATTGTGAATCAACCATTTATCTCATATTTATAGATGTTAGTATGTTATTTGTGGAAAAGTGCATTTTATATTAAATATAAATATATTCTTTTAATTCACATAATATGTCATACTGCTGGGGATTATTATTATAAAGGTTAATTGCAGTTTTTTAACTATAGAATAAAATATATCAGAAATACTATAATAATAAAATTGATTTTATTTTTCTTTTAAATAAACAATTAGTATCTAGTACGTAATAGTGAAGATCTCAATTATTACTATATACTCCAGTTAGTGGAAATCTACAGGGTGTATCACGGTCGATGGTAGGTTAGACGTTTATGGAGAACGGCAAAAGATATCGAATTGAAATTTTTATAGCAATTATAATATCATTTAAACTATTTTTCTAAATTATTTTGAACAAAATTCCTCTTTCGGTTTTAACGGAAGTGA